CCCACCGCCAGTGGCAGGGCGCCCGGCAGCAGCGGCAGCGGCGGCAGCGGCATCAGCGGGTGGCTGCGTGGTAGCTCAGCGCTGCGGATCTCTTTCCGCGCCGGCCTGGGCGGCATCGGCATGGGCATCGGCGCAGGCGGCATGGTGCGGCGCTGGCGGGCAAGATGGCAGTGCAGTGGCCGTGCAACAAGCCCGCATGAGATGCCGGTTGACGATGCTACTCCCGGGATGGAAACCCGGCTAGCCTTGGCACTTTGAGTTGGCCGCGTGGCCCTCTCACGGGCCATCGCTACACGCGCTGTCTGGACTCACTGACCCCACCTCGCATGGGTGCGCATCCACTGCATGCCTTTTGGCAAAGCCTTCACCAGCTGAAACTACCCTGCCTTGCCCGGCCCCTTCTCATCTGCGCGCCCGTGTGCAGTGGTGCGGCCCTGCCAAGGCGGACCTGCTGCGGCTGTTCCCCTTCCCGGGGCGCAGGCGGAAGGGTGCGCATCCGCATGCACCGGCCTGCGCTGCTTGCAGCTCAGAGAGCATTGCAGACCTCATGCGTGTGTCGGCGTCGCTTCACTATGCACTGGGAGGTGGAGGGCCTCATACGCTTGTGCCGGCATCGCCGCCCACGGGGTCGCACCTGCAGCACTGTGCAGCGCCCGATTCTCTTCTGCTGTCGCGGGTGCCACCCACGCGCGCAGGCCCCCCCAAGGGCGGCCAGAAGACGGTGCTGATCATGATGAGCAACACGGGTGGCGGCCACAAGGCCAGCGCGGAGGCGCTGCAGCAGGCATTCCGGGAGGAATACGGGGACCAGTACAAGGTGGGGGGGGGGGAGGGGGGGGAGTGTTCGATGGGTTTAGGGGCGCAGAGAGTTGGTGGTTGGAGAGGGGGCGCTGTTGGTGAGGTGGGGGTGGTGCAACACGCAGTGGTGGTGGTGATGGTGGTGGTGGTGTGGTTGCGCACCAGGTGGTCAAAATGAGAGGTGGCAACGTGTTGCTGAGCCGCGTCGATGGCAGGGACGGCGCACTGGGGGGAAATGAGTGGGATGGGGGGAGGATGTCGCTGCTGATCTCGGTCATTCCTTCAGCACCGGCAAAACCGAACGGCTCTGGCGGCACCCTTGTTAGCCTGCCTGCTGCATGGTCGCCCATGGCAGTTTGCACCGCATACCACAGCTCTATTCTCCTATGCTGCTCCTTCATCCCAAGTACTCCAGCCCTTACCCCTCACTCACGTCCCCCCCCCTCTCCCTCCCTCAATCAGATCATCATTGTGGACATGTGGAAGGAGCACACCCCCGCCCCCTTCAACACCCTATGCGACTCCTACTCCTTCCTCGTCCGCCACTCCATCCTGTGGCGCCTCACCTACAACATGATGCAGCCGCGCCCGCTGCACCGCTCGTACTTCGCCGCCGTCAACGCCGCCGTGTCGCGCCAGCTCAGCGCCGCCTTTGACGCGTACGACCCTGACCTCGTCGTCTCGGTGCACCCGCTCATGCAGCACATCCCGGTCCGCGTGCTCGCGTCCCGCGCGCGCGCGCGCGGCGAGGCGCCGCCGCCGTTTGCGACGGTCGTGACGGACTTCACGACCTGCCACAACACGTGGTTCTACCCGGCCGTCACGCGCTGCTTCGTGCCGACAGCGTTCTGCAGGAGCCTGGCGCTGGAGAACGGCGTGCCCGCGGACAAGATCACGGTGCACGGCCTGCCCATCCGGCCGATCTTCAGCAAGCGGCTGCCCGCCAAGGCGACGCTGCGGCGCAAGTTGGTGAGCGGCGGTGGAGGGCGGGTGCATGCGCGTGGGACTAAGGGCGACTGTTAACGAGAGCAGGCGTGTGGGGGTGGGGCTGAGCCCATTCGCGGCAAGGCGCTACACGGTGTGACGCCAGGGAATTGCGTCTGCTGCTCTTGCGGCCAGTGATACCTGCCCGCGGTGTCGATGTTGCATGTTGGCTGTCACCCTTGCATGCCTTCATTAAATGATCTTTCGCCATGGCGTTTGCTCCTCTCAGCACGCACCCGACTCCCCATGCACCCGGCCGCCCCTGCTCACCGCCCTGCGCAGGGCCTGGTGAATGACGCCCCGGCCATCCTGCTGGTGGGGGGCGGCGAGGGCATGGGCAAGCTGGAGGCCACCGTTCGGGAGCTGGACGCACGGCTGCAGGGGAGCGCGCAGGTGACACCGGTGACGCCGCTTAGGCGCTGGGTTATGTTGGTCGGAAGGGGTGTGTGCTGACCGATTATTGAAATGTTCTCTGGGGTTTGTAGAGCAGAGGAGCTCAAAGCATCGTAGCTGCCTTCATCTGCTTGGAGGCACATGGCGCCGCTGCAACTGCCGCATGTAGCAAACGACCCAACATATTCCCTCCTGTTCTATCACGCCTCGCGCCGCAGGTGGCGGTGATCTGCGGCCGCAACAAAAAGCTGCTCAACACCCTGCGGTCCACGGTCTGGCCGGGCGGCAGCCACGTGGTGGCGGTGGGCTTTGTGGACAACGTGCACGAGTGGATGGCGGCGGTGGACACCATCATCACGAAGGCGGGGCCGGGCACGATCGCGGAGGCGCTCATCAGCGGGCTGCCCATCCTGCTCAACGGCAACGTGCCCTGCCAGGTGGGCAGGGGCCTCCGGGCTCCCAGACTACTACCGCGGGCAGTGGGGGCAGCGGGGGCAGTGGAGGCTTGGGGGCCGGCTGGCGGTGGGGTGGTGGCCAGTGGGCACGGAGGGCTTGGTTGGCGGCTCCCAAGGCAAGTGGGTCACAGTGTAGCATTTAAGGTTAAGGTCTAGCTCATTCTCAATATTGCCATCACAAGCAAGGCTCCTGGCACCCAACTCATTATGTGCGCGCGCACACACACACACACACACAAGCACACACACACACAAGCACACACACACACCTCTTGAGGAAGCTGCCAGGCCCACACCCTCGCACCCATCCACCTGACCACAATCTAACCTCCGTGCCCCAGTCCCACCCTCACCCCCAACCCAACTCCCACCCCACTGCCACAGGAGGAGGGCAACATCCCCTACGTGGTGGAGAACGGCGTTGGCGCCTTTGAGACCGACCCCGTCCGCATCGCCGACATCATGGCCACCTGGCTCGGACCCTCCCCCGAGGCCCGCGCCGAGTTCGCTGCCATGGCAAAGCGCTCCAAGGCGCTGGGGCGGCCACGTGCGGTGTACAACATCGCGCGCGACCTGGCAGGCCTGGTGGAGTCCGCCAAGGAGCTCGCCGTGGAGGTGGCAGCAGCCGCGGCCGCGCCCGCGCGGCGCGCGTGCTGCAGCGGGGGCGCGGCAAAGCAGCAGCCACTGGTCGCGCCAGCGTGAGGCTGCGGTGCGTGGCGCGTTCGGTGGCTGTTTTGTGGTTTGATGATGGGTCATATCGGTATTTCATCAAAGGACAAGTGGGCCTGCGCGCGTGCTCGGGCCCTGCGCAAATGCCCTGGTGTGTTTCCATGTCCTGTGCATTATTGGTTTATCAGGATTTGGATTAAGCATGCATTGTGCCATGCATTTGTAAATACTTTCCCGTCGATAAGGAGGAGTGGAGGCGCATGGGCGGCAGGGCAGGGCTTGGTCGCTCACACGCAACTTGAGGACGCTTTCGCGTGCGTGGGGTGCTCCTGCAACAAGTGTTGACCAGTGGTCAAGGCTCAAGTCGGCCCAACACCCGCCCGTGCTCGCATGCCCTCCACGCGCCTGGCAGCCCTTCATGCAAGGCTCTTCACAGCACCAGCTATTAAACACTGTGCGCATGAGGGGGCACTTTGCACTTTGCAGGCATGTCGCACGGTGAGTGGTGCCAATACATAATGGTTGTGTACCATCCGGTATCATACTGGGCGGTAGCGGGGCAATTAGATACCGCATGTTTCACTCATACTTGTACAGGCCGCACAGTCTGGGTCCCGAGCTTCCCTGTCGTTGCGAGCATTGAAACACCGGCCATGAGATCAACTTGCAGTGACTCTGAGCGGGCCTGATCGGTCAGAATCATGCTTGAAAGCCTGACAGCGGGGATGGCCACCGTGCTGGGGCTTGGGCGGGCCCGCAAGGCGACGCTCAAAGTCAGCCCGCCTTCCACGGAGAAGGCCCCGGACATGCAACCAAGCTACAGTGATGCGAACGAGGCTGTTTGCGGTGCGTGCCGCCGTGGCCGTGAGGAACCACACCTGGATGGCGGTGTCGTGCCAGGAGGCCTGCACGCAGCGCGAGCGGCAACGCACGACAGTGTCGAGTGCAGGGACAAGCGCTTGGCTGCGTGAGGGATGCTGCATGCAGTCACTCAAGCTCTGTGCACGCTGGTGACCGTTGACCCAGGCACAGCGTTGCAAGAGCGGTGTTCCCGCCTGAGCCGCTCTCTTTTGCCGTGTGACGGTCTATGTCCCGCCTGGCCCTCCCGCTACAGGCGGCTGTCGGCTTGGCGGCGAGCTCATCTGCTGCGAGGCCTGTCCCGCTGCCTTCCACCCCCGATGTGCCGGCTTTGGTGCGCGCCCGGCTCCGACGGCGGCGGTGCCGGCTCTGCTTTCTAACCCCCTGTGTTCGGGGAGCTGTCTCGCTGAGCATGACAGGCGTGGTGTGCTCTGCAGATGCAGCGCCAATTCGCCGCAGGCGTCACAACCTCAGCCATGCCCCAATGCGCGCGCAGCCAGTCCCGAGGAGGTGCCGGATGGCGACTGGTTCTGCTGGTTCTGCGCCAAGGAGCGCGGCGAGGAGCCGGCAGCGCGCCTGCCGCCCTTCCGGCCTCCGCGCCACCCCCAGTCTTACGTCATGCTGGCATCAGACGAGGTGTGCGAGATCTACTACCGCACCAGGTGCGGCTGTGGTTGTCAGAGTGCATGCATTTGTGCATGCGCATGCACATGCATGCATGCAAGCTCAAGACATGCGCATGGCCGCGCGCGTGCATGCGAGTCCGTGCGTGCTTGAGTGGCTGGTGGAGAGGTAATCCCTGCTAGAGCTGTGGCTGCATTGCTTCGGCTTAGGTTTGAAGGCTGCAAAGGCTCCCCTGTGGTAGCCGAGCCCTCAAGAGTGTGTCGCGCGAACAGTGTGTAGCAGGAACAGCGTGCGCAGCACCCGCGCTCCGCTGCTCGCCCCAAGAAGCCCATGCAGTGCTGCTCATGTGCGTCGCGCTGTCAGCTCCGTCCCCACACACGCAATTTGAACATCACACAGAGTTGTGGAGGACCAGGGTGACTCTTTGCTGCTGCAATACGCGGACATCGAGGTGGGGGTTACTGCCTGAGGGCAGTTTGGATTTAATAAATGTAGGACCAGTAACCCCAGCATTCTGGCCTTTGTCGCTCCTTGCGTGGCCTCAGGCAGTTCCCTCCCCTCGACCAGCCATCACTGGCGTGTTGCCTGACAGCTCAGAAGGACGCCCTGGTCGCCCTGCTGGCGCCCACAGGCCCAGGCCTAAGTGCACCCCCCGCCGCCAACCCCTCTCTGATCGAGTGCCCCTGCGCCACTCCCGTCTTGCCGCGCGGCCCTGCCGCCACTTATGCAGCACCCACGGGAGGTCGTCAGCATTGACAGCCCCATGCTGTGGCGCGGCACTACCGACAAGGTGTGCAGCGTATGCAGCCTGCCAGATTTCATGGGCCTATGCGCTTGCCCACCCCCACTGCGCATGAAGCCATTGTGGTGCCAGGCAGGCATCCATCCAAGTCCTCAAGACGAACACGCCCCCTCCTCCCCTTGGGCCCCTTCATCCATTTCACCCGCCCTCGTGTGTGGCGGACCATTTGTGAATGTTCAGGCTGCTTGGTCATTGGACGAGGACGGCCTCGGCTGGCGGCCAAACGCACGCCTGTTCAAGGTGTGTTCAGGGGGCTAGGGCGCATGCCAGGGGCGGTTGCCACCTGTGTGTAGGGGGGAGGTTTGCAGCCAAGTGGGGCAAGCCGAGGCGTCTCTTGTGGCGGTGAGGAAGCTGCTTGCCTTTGCACAGGCGACGCCCAGTGCACAACAGCCTCGTGGGGTGCAAAGGCGACCTCTTCTCAATTTGCCACCCATTGAGGCACCTCTGCGTGCTGCATGTCTCGTGCTGCCGTGCTACAACCCTTGCCACTTTATGCCCTGTCACCATCTCAGGTGGACCTGGATGCGCTGCAGGAGTCTGGCGCACTGGCTGCTCCTGTCACGGCCCTCGCCAGTGCGCCCAAGAAGCGCAGCCGTGCGCCGCAGCCCACCCAGCCGCCAGCGGATGCGCCCCCAGCGAAGCGACACGCGGGGGCGTCTCCAACAAATGGGGGCGCCAGTGACGGCACCGGCGCCGACGGGTGCAGCGGCAGCAGGGTGTTGCGGATAGAGCCGCCAGAGGTTGCAGTGGATGTTACTGCAGGCTTGCCATCGATTGAGGGCGGCGCTGGTGAGAAAACTGCTGCACTCCTTAGCACGACTTGTTTTGGTGTGAAGTCACATGTGTCATGTGCGGGTCCACAGCAGGCATTCAGGCACACACATTGACTTGCATACCCCCTCGCGTCACATGTCTGCCCCACCAGCCAACACTGCTCAATCCCCGCCTTTGCATTCTCTGGGTGCACCACATGCTTCGTGCAACGCTCCCCGGCATTCCTGCAGACCAAGCGTCTTTCACGACAGCATACGAGGCGTTCTGGCGCGGGCAGCTTGCCGCAGGGGACGGAAGGGCTGCGGCCAGACCGGGCAAGCGGGCGGCCCCGCGCTGCCAGATCATGGCAGCCGTGCCCGCGCCCCCGTGGCGCCTGTGGCGCGAGGTGCACTCGTGGGGCGGCCCCGGCGTGGTCACAGAAAACAAGGTGCGTCGCAGCCCAACCGGCCCGCAGCACCGCAGTGCGTGCGCCATGTCCACACATGTGCACCCCCTGTGCAATCAGCCTCCAAGGCGCCTGGCGCCCGTTCTACCTCCCCGCTCACCTGGCCCCTGGACTGCGCGCGCCTCCCGCAGCTGTGGGCCACTGTGGGCGGTGTGTTTGGCACGCCCCCCACTTTCACCATGCTCAGCTCGTCCACCAAGAAAGCTTACGCCAAATGCCTGTCGGGCTTCGATCAGGTGGGCGCGGTGATCTGTAGCCGAGGGGCACGGCGCCACCCCAGCTGCTCCCAGGCTGGCTGGTGCAGGGTGGTCCCATGCGACTGCTGCTGTCCCATGTTGCTGCTTCTTGCTGTGGGTGACCATTGTTGCCAGGAGTGGTGAATCACGCAGCGACCGCCACATGCACACCCACACACACGCCCGCCGCACGCCTGCCCACCAGGCCATCGACGCCGGGCGGGTGGCATTGCAGCGGCCGCTGCGCACGCGCTACCCGGCTGACCGCAAGAGAATGCTGGGTGGGCTATTGTTGCATGGGGCATGCAGATTGGGCAGGGGTGTTTTATGGGTTGTGGCAGGCTGTGGCCGTGGAGATCTGAATCCCACAGGGCCTGGCGGGAGGGTGGGGTGGGAGGGAGTTGACAGCCAGCACGCGTCTGCAACTGCTATTGGTGCGAGCGGATGGCAAGGGCCACGGCAGCACGCTATACAGCGGTACCTGCACAGGCGTTGCACGTTGACACCCCTACTATGCATTCCCCCGGGGTCTCTCAATCCCCAGCTGCCCGGGCGTTGCAGCAGCGTGGAGCGGACGGCGGGTGCGCGGAGGCGACGGGCAGCGCCAACGGCACCAAGCCACTTCAGCAGCAGAAGCAGCAGCAGGAGCAGCAGCAGCCACAGCAACAGCAACCCCAGCAGCAGCAGCAGCAGCAGCAGCAGCAGCAGCAGCCGCGGCGTCAGCAGCAACAGCATCAGCAGCTGCAGCAACAGCGGCAGCAGCCTCCTGCTGTCGCGGTGGAGCAGCCAAGCAGAAGACAGCGCGTGGCGCGTTCAGCGCCCGCTGTTGAGGCGCAGGAACTGGGGCCGTGCGACGGCGCTGCGGTCAGGCAGAAGGCGGTCAAGGCTCTGTCCGCCAGCCACACGGTCGCCACGCCCGCACCCACGCAAGCGCTGACGGTACCCGCGCCGCCGCTGCTAGCGTCACCGTCGCCGCCGCTGCAGCAGCAGCAGCAGGAGCAGCAGCAGCAGCAGGCTGATGACACAACACCTGGCAAGCGCTCTGCACGCCTGGCGTCGGCGGGCGTCAGGCGGCGGCGGCCGGAGGTGGGCGCTCTGGACCCGCGGGTCGTGAGCAGCCGGCCGATCCCCAGGCGGCTGCGGTCTGGGCACGTGCCGCGGCGCGTGGCGGGGCAGGACCAGGGGGATGCGCAGCAGCAGGACGCCTCCGCGACGCCTGCTGGTGCCGGCCAAGAGAGCGGGCAGCAGACGGGCCGCGAGCAGCAGCGGCCCGCCCTGGCCAACGGCGCCGGCCCGTCGTCTTCGGGAGCTGCGGTGGGCAAGGAGACGGCAGGCGCACACGTGCCGGACCCGGCGGCCAATGGGCCCTGCTCGGCAGGCGTGGCGTGCTCGCAGCCGGGCGGCTGCGCACCGCCGCCGCAACTGGGGCGCCTTCCACCGGGCAAGGGGATCGCGCGCGCCAGGGTGACCCCCGCAGCAGCGGCTTTCAAGGTGGGTGTTGCAGGGAGGGTTAAGGTTGCTGCTCCCCCGCCGCGCGGCGCTCGCCCACAGCGGGTGGTGTATATGTCGGCACCGTGGCGGTTGGCTGTCGCACCTGTCCCTCTGGCGCCTTGCCCTCACTGCGGTTGGCTGGATGCCTGTGCACTCCGCTAAAATGCACCACCTCTGAGTGGTTCAGCCAATCCTCTGCGGGTGTGACCCACACGTAGGCGGGGGACGCCGTGGACTTACGGCGAACATTGCAACAGGGCCGTTGCGCCAGCGGCTGGCAACCAGGCGTGCTGCTGTGCGTGGCGCCTGGCAGCGACTGGGAGGGCGGCCTGCGCGTCCTTGCGCGGCCCGTGGTGGAGGGGCATGCGGAGGCAGAGCCGGCCGGGGCGCAAGCGCGCGAGCAGCTGCAGGGACGGCAGCGGAAACGGCAGCAGGAGCAGCGTCAGGCGGCATCCAACGGCGGGAGCAGCGGCGCCGCTGGTGCTGCAAGCGGCAGCGATGGCAGAGCTGCTTCACCCCAGGGGGCTGCGAGTGGCGGCGGGCCGTCCCCTCCAAGGCCAACCATGGCCGAGCCTGTCTGGCTGCCGCTACTTTGGCGCGGCCCGGTTGTGGGAGAACCATTTGCGGAGCCGGTTGTGCTGGTGCGGCCCAGGCATACACTCAGCGGGGTCGGCGGCGGGTGCTGCACGGCCACAAGAAATGAGGTTTCCAAGGAGGAGGAGGAGCAGCAGCAGCAGCAGCAGCAGCAGCAGCAGCAGCAGCAGCAGCAGCAGCAGCAGGAACCGGCAGCCAACGCCGCCACCAGCGATGGCCGTCGCCCTGGCCGCAACAAACTGGTGGCTGCAGCGAACGGGTTGGGTCCTGAGCACGCGCACACAGCACACCTGAATGGCGTCGATCAGCCAGCCAAGCAACAGCAGCAGCAGCACCAGCAGCAGCAGCAGCAGCAGCAGCAGGAGCAACGGCAGCAGCGGCACGCGCTTCCATCAGGGAGCCGGGTCGAGGTGCTACGCCACGGCTACTGGTGGCCGGCACTGGTGGAGGAGGCGGTTGATGCGACAGGCTGCGGCCTGCTGCGCAATGCAGCGCTTCCCGAAGGGGACGGACTGGTGTGGCGTGCTGCGGGGCAGCACCAAATTAGGTGAGTGGTGTGGAGAGTGTAGGTCGGTGCTCTGGCTGCAAAGGATGCTGACGAGCATGCCTGTCGTCATTTGTGGCCCTGCAGCGAGGCTGCTGCACAGCTGCGCTATGCTTTCAAGGGCTTTTGGTAGTTGTACCGCATATATGTGCTGCTTTTGCCCATGGGTTGTCTGCCCTCACAAGCATGTGGCCCTCGCTTCCCCTGCAGGCCTGCGCCCCCAGTCGGCCAGGGCGTCCTGCTGGCGCCCGCATCAGAGGCCGAGCTGGTCCCCCTGGGCGCTCTGCAGCAGCAGCTGGCCGTGTCTGAGCACGGACACAGCATCCGCGCGTTTGCGAGCTTGGACTGCCTGCTGCCCTTTGTCGCACCCCTGCATGCGCCATGAACCTCTGCCGAAATGGGTCTGCCGCGTGTCATCGCGGCAAATCGGGATTTCAAACGCCTTGTGCTGCCAGCGCGCGTGCTGATGTTGGTACGGTGTTTTACAAACCTTGCATGCTCAAGCCTTATCTGGACACATGGACTGTAATTGATCACAGTGATCACAAACTCATGCCACACCCCCAGCCAATTCCGTCAGGACAAGCCCCCATCTCCCCGGCACGCACCCCTGTTGCTGCCAGATGTTGCAAGCAACGCTGTGCAGGCATTAGCAGCTGCTGGCCAGCGCAGTTCGCAGCGTCCCTCAAATTTCGCTGCGCATCCTCATGTGTTTGCGCACATTGGAGATGGCAGGTCAGGCTGCGGTGCCGCACGA